TCAGCCTTGGGAGGTGAGTTTCATTTCAGTAGGAATGGGTCCAAGGCACCAAGGCCGGCCCGTATATGTGATGTTTAGCAGCTGGGTGTGGGCGGGGCCCGAATCTCGTAGTATTCTAGTGTGGACGGGGCCCAAACCTCATAGTATTATTTTAGTCGAGTTATGGGATTCTATGAAAGATATACTTGTTGTCTGTGTGATACTCGTATGCATGTTAGCCAATAAAGTGTGGGCGGGGCCCGAATCTCCTAGACAGCGGAGTATAGGCAGGGCCCGAATCTTCTAGACAGTGGATTCTAGGTGGGGCCCGAATCTCCTAGACAGCGGAGTGTGGGCGTGGCCCGAATCTCCATGAGAGTGGGCAGGGCCCGTATCTCCTAGTTGCATGATATTTTTATGGTATGTGGTAGTTTGGGGAACTCAGTAAACTTCATGCTTAAAGTTTTTAGTTTTGGTTTTAGGTACTTCCACAAGCAAGGGGAATGGCTCGGGATGATCGCATGGCACACACCATAGTTTCAGCCTGGATTGGATAGACTATAATATTTTTCTCATATGATTTGTCACAGTATTTGATATGATGTTTTAAGATACATGATACATGATTTTCTTTATGTTTATGGATGATTTGTGGTTTTATATTAAGATACAAAATGAAAATTTTGGACTGTATTTTTGGGGAGGTTTCAAGAACTTTGGATATTATACACCGACTGCGCAACAAGTAAGAAGGCTTGGGCGCAGGCCTGGTCCTTCAAAGCCCCAAAGGTGAAGAAATCACTTACGCGCTAGGATTCAATTTCAAAGTATCTAGCAACGAGGCAAAGTATGAGGCACTTGTAGCGGGTCTGAGGCTAGCCAAGGAAGTTGGTGCAAAGCAACTAGCAGCTCTCAATGATTCGTTACTTATCACAAACCAGATAAATGGAACATACGATGAAAAAGATCCAAGGATGCAAAAATACCTAGATGTAGTCCATAGTCTAACCAGCACATTTAAAAGTTTCTCAATAAAACAAATCTCCTGGGGAAAGAATATAAGGGCGGATGCTCTCAGCAAGTTAGCCTCAATTTCCTATGATCACTTAACAAAGAATGTGCTAGTTGAAGTGCACCCGATGAGAAGTATTAATAACCAACGGGTTAATACAATATAAACTACCCTAGAATGGACCAAACCATATATCGATTACTTATGCCATGGCTAAAAAGGAGAGGATATTTAAGCCCATGGCTAAAAATGTATCTCTAAAACAGAAGGGCATATGCACAGGAAAATTACTTCGCCTAGGGGTATATTTGTCGGATGTGTACAACGACGCCAGAACCCTAACCAAAAAATGCAAAGAATGCCAGGCATTCGCCCCTTTCCAAAATCAACCGGTCATGCCATTGACCAACATCACCGGCCCCTGGTCCTTCCACCAATGGGGGAATGACATAATAAGACCATTCCCACCAATGCCGGGGGGGGGGGTGAAGTTCTTGTTAGTGGTTGTGGATTATTTTACTAAGCGGATAGAGACAGAGTTGCTAGCCACCGTCATGGGAAAGCAAATGATAAAGTTCATGACTAAAAATATCTTGGCTCGTTTTGGCACCCCCAGGATTCTCATAAGCGATAACGACACACAATTTGAAGGAAGTCCTTCAAGGAGTGGTGCAAAGACAAGAAAATTCACCACCGGTTCACGTTAGTGGCGCACCCTCAGGCTAATGGACAAACTAAGATATCAAAAAACATAGTTAATGGTTTGAAGAACAGGTTGCTCGGATCAAAGTACGCTTGGGTGGATGATCTCCCGACAATGTTGTGGTTATATCGTACCACTGTAAGGTCATGCACGGGAGAAACATCATTCAACCTAACGTATGGGACTGAAGTAGTCCTCCCATTAGAGATAGTGGCTGGGTCACTGCGAACAGATAGGTTCGAGGAAATAGCCAATGAAGAAGGGTGGGGCCAGGATTTGGACATGCTCGATGAAAAATGCGACACTGCACAGATGCGCCAAGCATTGTATAAATCGCGCACCGAGAACTATTACAATCGCCAAGTCAGGGTGAAGAATTTTAAAGTTAGAGAATGGGTGGTAAGGAAAAATGAGTGCAGCCATGCTGAGCCACTGGGAACACATAAAAATGGCACTTATGCATTAGAATCCCAGGACGGGCGTGCAATTCAAAGAACTTAGAATACGTAGAGCCTGCACCATTTCTACTCTTAAAACGAGTGTAAAAAGTAAATTGAATGCTATCAAAGGCATTTTGTATTAGTTTTGAAATGTAAATTTAACCATAAAAAATTACTTTAACACTTCCAGTCTTCTAACACTCCAAAAGTAAGGTTAGAAAAAGAAAGAGCAATTCAGATGCTCCTTATTTTTAAGCTTGAAAAGTAACATAAAGAGGTTGTGTACGTTTACCATGTGACAACAAGGACTAATCATCCAACATCACATGAGGAAATCGATACAAAGAGGCGGCCAGGGGGTTTATATAAAAAAAGGTTCATAACCTTTTTCCTAAAGAATGTTCATCAATTGCATTATGGAAAATAACAAATGTACAAAAGAACATGTGTCATAAATGTAAAAGAGTCATAACCTTCCACTAATGAGAAATGCACAGTTGGGTGAGCCTCAAGATGACGATCTTGGATACACCTAGGGTCTTTAAGCAGAAAAATATTAGCATTAGTAAAGTACAAGGAGTTCAAAAATAAGAGAACTCAGGCCATGGATTTAAGCAAACCCTGTATAAAAACCGTGTTATGGCCAACATAAACCATTCACAAAGTAACCAAAAGCACATACGAGATAGTAGGAAACATTCACACCCATAAATTAAAAGTGAATATTGTCAAATTGCCGGACTCCTGGACTTTAGGACTGCCACTGGGGAAGCAAAGACAAAGAAAATATTGTTCACAAGAGTTACATTAACACAAACAAAACAAATTGCACTATCCATAGGCAGGGGTTGTGCCATCACCAACCAGAGAGCTAGGGACCGAGCCTGGCCCATCATCATGAGCATCTTAAAAAAGAGCACAAAGCCCGACCAAGTCCATGTTACCAAGGTTGAGATAGCCGGAAAAGTCCGTCTCAGTGAACGTCGACAGGGCATCCTCCATCTCCTGGGTCTTGACAGCTACATTCATCTCCATCTCTGGGCCGAATTCCTCGGCAACTACCTGCTCTCTTCCCCTGCCCCAAGCCTGCCACAACGCAAGTTTCCTACACATGAACTAAACCTTGAATAAATTGGGGACTCTCAATCACCCTATCCACCACCCGACTAAGCCCATCGTGCAGAATCCATAATGCATCCTTCTCTAACACCCCTCTTGCAGCGGTCTCCCCAACCAGGTCAGACTCCAGCTCTGTTATTCATTTGCTCAGGCCGACGTTTTCCAAGGTCAGGATTCCCACGCGGTTATTCAAGCACTTCATCTCCTCGTCTAGCTTTTCCACTTGCTCTTGCAGGCTTGCCTTTTCACATAACACAAGCTCTTGTTGGGCCTCCCAGCTGCACTTGTCGACCTCCATCTTTTCTACCTGGGCCTTCAGCTCTGCACATTCAATGCTCATCTTGTATGAATGAGATTGAATAGCCTCAATATCGGAGATGCGTTCAGCGGCTGAGACCAGGTAAGATGACACTTGAGCAGTGGCGTAGGAGGAAAAGCATGCCAACACCACTCAAGAGCAGTGTCGTGGTCGGACACGAGGTCTTTGGGGGTCAGGCTCCAAGATGGCCTATAGGAACCTGCATAAGAACCCGCAGAGGGGGGGGGGGGGACAGTTCCTGTTTTACCAGATGCAGTTGATACGAGACCTTAGGAAGGCGACAACAGTAGGATCAGGGCTTGTCATATAAAGGTTTTATTTCTCTGTAGGACTGGGCAGTTCAGTTGCCCTGTTGTGTGCCCCCTCCTGCAATTTCGGAGGAATTTCATCGGGGGTACGTGTGGAACCTTAGGAACCTCCCATCAAGATACTCACATTAAGTTTCTTGTGGAGTGGGGGCTCGGTGCTAACCATCTCTGCACGACCACTGGTATACGCTTCCAAGAAAGCAAAATGTCTATTTAAACAGCAGAGACTCCTTAGGGACCTGGAAGGGACATGATCCTTTGAAGAAGCACGAGTAAAAACCACGTCCTGCATATCTAGATCCTCACCAGCAATAATAGCACTTTCCAAACCAACGGTAACCTCGATTCCTCAGCCAGAAATAGGGGGTGGAAGAGTCTCTACAAGGTCGTCATAACGAAGATGAAGATCACCATCGAATAGACCTTGAAGAGGTTTCTCCAAGGAGATAACCTCCTCTACACCTGACAACAGAGATTGAATAGCCTCAATATCGGAGATGCGTTCAGCGGCTGAGACCAGGTAAGATGACACTTGAGCAGCGGCGTAGGAGGAAAAGCATGCCAACACCACTCAAGAGCAGTGTCGTGGTCGGACACGAGGTCTTTGGGGGTCAGGCTCCAAGATGGCCTATAGGAACCTGCATAAGAACCCGCAGAGGGGGGGGGGGACAGTTCCTGTTTTACCAGATGCAGTTGATACGAGACCTTAGGAAGGCGAAGACACGGTCTTCACCTCAACTCCTCCAACAGTAGGATCAGGGCTTGTCATATAGAGGTTTTCTTTCTTTGTAGGATTGGGCAGTTCAGTTGCCCTGTTGTGTGCTCCCTCCTGCAATTTCGGAGGACTTTCATCGGGGGCACGTGTAGAACCTTAGGAACCTCCCAGCAAGATACTCACATTAAGTTTCTTGTGGAGTGGGGGCTCGGTGCTAACCATCTCTGCACGACCACTGGTATATGCTTCCAAGAAAGCAAAATGTCTATTTAAATAGCAGAGACTCCTTAGGGACCTGGAAGTGACATGATCCTTTGAAGAAGCGTGAGTAAAAACCACGTCCTGCATATCTAGATCCTCGCCAGCAATAATAGCACTTTCCAAACCAACGGTAACCTCGATTCCTCAGCCAGAAATAGGGGGTGGAAGAGTCTCTACAAGGTCGTCATAACGAAGATGAAGATCACCGTCGAATAGACCTTGAAGAGGTTTCTCCAAGGAGATAACCTCCTCTACTACTGACAACAGAGCAAATGTAGCAACAATTAACAAAATTACCGATTTTCAAGGGTTTTGCCTAGTAAAGAAAGGGGGAAATATAAGAGAAGACAGAAGAAGAAGTATCATACCTTCTTTCTCGACGAATAACTCAAGCATTTCCCCACGAGCCCTCCAAGCAACACTCATCCCACTGGTGGCCGAAAAGTAGTCGAGCCAGTTCTGACCTTTGATGTTGATCTTCTCCAGGGCATCTGCTAGCTCCTAATCAGAACCAAAGAGCATTGGAGCACGATACACATATGCCTTGGTCCTTGGGTAGCTAAGCACCACAAGGTCGTTGTTCACCCATAGAAACTTATCCTGCCAATTTTTCTTGGATTTCTTGTTGTGTTTAAGAGTAGGGACTCCCTGCCGACGAGAAAGGGTCCGAGTCCCAGATTGGGTAAAAGCATTGAAGAAGTACTTGAATTCCGGAATAGTTGGTTGAAGAACTAGGGTACGATAAAGGAGTTCAAAACCGACTATCTTGTTTATGGAAATTGGGGTCATCTCTCTCATAGAAAACCTGTACTCGCAAATGATCAGATTGAAGAAATATGTAGTGGGCAAATGCAGACCCGCTTCGAGTAAGGCAACCGAAATTCCAACCTTACCCTCGGGAGAACTGTAAAGTGATGCATCATGAAGAGGAATTTGAACCCCATGTTCGTGGACAAACCCAAATTGAAACTGAAAAGATTCCTATTCTTCGGTGGTAAGATCCCTTCCCAAAGAATGTGAATTAGCCATGAAAGAAGGCGAAGAAAAGGTCGAAAGGATTCTTTGGGGCAGGAAGGCAAGAAGAGAAAGGCATAGAGTAAGGAGAGAACGTCAGGAGGAACAGAGGTTTAAATGCTACCAAAGGAGTAGCGAATCGTTTTCATAATGAAGCCATCGAAGAACGGTGATTTCACCCTGACAACCGCATAAGCTATTAGTAGCAGCTCGCCACGTGTCTATAAGTAGACCAGAACGACTCTGCTATGTCATTATCGCAGAAGCCTATTGGTTTAAGGGACTTGTTAACGTTACTATGAATGGTCACATTAAACTTAATGAAAAGCATAAATAGGATGTTATCAAGCCAAGACCTTGGCTAAGGCCCGACCTTAGCCTAAGCAATCCAACGACAAGATGGCAGTTCTCTTTTCTTCACAAGGAAAGGATATTCCTTGTGATCCTCTTATTCACTCACAACCAATCAGGTCGTGATGAAGAGCTTGATGACGCCCAAAACTGATGTCACCTAGCAATCAGTTAGAATGGACCACCTTCTCCTAGTGAGAGGAGTGGGAGAAGGACCACGTCTCACACACATGGGGTAGACTACCCATGATCCATTAGTAATAGGTATAAAGGGATATCTTCCAGCTAAAGGGAAGGATCCATCTTCTTCCACCCATATTTTACCCTTAACTCTCTCTAAGTAAACTAACTTGATCGCCAGAGCGATGTCCCGAGAGAACACCTGGTCGTCCTTTAATGGTTCTTCTGTGTTGTGTTCTTAGGAAAACTTTAAGGATTGATTCGTCAACTAGCATCCAATCCCCTCAAGATCATGTCACAATAGGTTCCAAAGCAATAATCATCAAATGTTGCAATGAATTTGAAGTCAAAACCGAAAAGTGTTGATGGTTCTTATGAAGATGGTGTTAGATCATTGAAGAACACAAAGAAGGAGTTCTAAAACACGCATCACGGGTGGTACAATATTCAAATTGGATATTTTCTTATTCCAACAAAAGAACCAGGATCTTCAAAATTTAATTCGTTCGTTGCAAATTGTATGACCCCATTCACTAAAATTACCATAAAGCCAAACATGCTACATGCATATTCATAATTATAATTCACACTAGTGGTCTAAATACAAAAGCATGGATACAAACCAACTAAAAGGGTTTTTACAAAGTTTCATAACTAGTTGTATAAATACATAACTACCCAGGAATTTATAATCCATATACATATATGTATACCAAGTAAAAACGTAGTAGTGTCAACTACTCTAAGTCCTCCAACAAAGCGTGTTTACTCTGGATGCTTATCACCTGAAATAGTTAAACACTAAAAGGGATAAGTGGGCGTCACTTAGTGAGTTCAAAAATAGATACAATATAACGCTATGCCATATACATAACAATATGACAGGAACAAAAAGAAACAAAGGACAACAAAGGCTTATATGTGTATCAAATGAAGGACTTTCCAAATCAATAAACGGTTAGATTCAAAGGATTACAATAATTAAGACACAATAATTTAGGATCATAAGCATCATAAATTCCAGCCCAAGAGGCACATAAAACACAATCCCTTTTAATCATGTTGCTAGAATATACAGGCTTTCAGCCCTACCTAGCCCGAAGCCAATACCAAAGTGATACGAGTCATGCTCTACATGGTCAAAGGCACAAAGCCAATACCAAAGTGATACGAGTCATGCTCTACATGGCCAAAGGCATCAAAATCAATATCAAGTAATAACCACTTAGATCAATAACACAAGAAAGCACATTGCACATATAACACATAACATACAATTGTCCCTATATTGAACTCACTGTGCTGTAACCGAATGTTGCGATAAAATTCCTCTTTTTCTGATGAAATTACACCATCCTCAGGCCTCTAAAACCTTCAATTATACCCCTGGAGTTCATATTTCAAATTTCATAAGCAATTACTCAACTACTCTCAAGTTATGTTGTTTTCAATTTAGAAATTTTAGTTTTTGTTCTTTGTATAGCTGTCACTTGCAGATCTGTTTTACCCTTATTAAATGTCAAAATAACTAATAAATTATACATATTAATAAAATAGACTCTTATATCTTTCTAATGCCACTGACCTCACATTTTTATGATTTTTCTATAATTTACTATGAATTTTACAAAACAGCATCCTAAAGCTGTCAAAATGTTCCAAAGCTGTCAAAATTCAGCCTTACTGCACTGAACATATAGCTGTTTTCACCCCTTTTAAGTCCGGAATTAGATTTTGGTTTTAAAACAAAAATCAAAGTAGACATTCTCAGCTTTCCAGGGATATATAGCACATCTCCATACGATTTTTCTATAATTTTTGGTGATTTTTACAAAAACAGGACAATTATACCCTTTATAATTTCATTTTACCCTTTACATGATCAAACCTCATGATCAATATCACCAAGTTCTTCTTTTACAATGATAACACTGAATATTTTAGTAATCCATTCTAATTCAAGTATAAACCATGGGTTTCATTATTAATTTTCACTAATTACTCTTAAACCATATGATTAATTCTCAAGTTTACATGTAGTTACTTGATTTCCATTTAAGATTCTAGGTTAATAACATAAACTCATGCCTAATTTCATTAAATCAGTGGTAAACCCACTTTGATCAAACCCTAATCTCTTAATAACTCACTAATTACAAGGGTAATCCAAAAATTAAGAGTTCATACCTTGATTACTAGACTTGATACTTCAAGAACACTCAAAATCTTGATTTAATCTTCAAAACTTGATCAAGATTGATCATGTATGTGAAAATCTCCCATAGGGATGGTGACGAACTGAAAATGGCAGGAAAATGACTCAAAATCGTGTTTCAATGGGTAAAAACCCGAGTTGGGTCGGGTTTGACCCGGTTTGGGTACCCGTTTTACCCCTAAACACTAAAAATTGCATAACTTTTCGCTCGAAACTCCGTTTTCGATGAGGTTTTCGCCTGTACGTTTCTAACGAGATAATTTACAACTTCCAATAAAAATATCCCAGAAAAGATCTTCCAATAAAATCAGATTTAATTATTTTTAACTTAGACGTTATACTTTCGTTAATTCCGATAGTTGACTTTTTGATCGGAATCACATAAGACTTCCCTATCACCTCTAATACATTCCAAATGATTCTAAACTTAGTTTAACTTCAAATATTATAAACCTATTTCGTTAGAAATCAACGCTTAAAACCATACCGAAAATAATATATATATATATATATATATATATATATATATATATATATATATATAAACGCTTACAATTCTATTTTACTATAACTACCTACTTTAAACGTTTAAAACAACATAATATATAATAATATTCATTTTTAAACTAACAATCATATGAAACATGATAATTAAACAAGGTTACTAAAGTGTATGTTACAAATACCTCCTCCTTTTGAGGATTTCGTCCCCGAAATCACGACGATTTAAACAAACGGGGATATTTTTCTCTTATGTCATTCTTATTTTCCCAAGTATAATTTGGGCCTCGATGATGTTTCCACTTGACAAGCACTAACTCCACTTCTTTATTACGCAGATCAACCGTTCTCTCATTTATAATCTCTTCAGGTTCTTCTATATATCTTAACTTATTATCCAATTTCACCTCTGATAATGGAACTGTCTCATCATAGATGCTCAAGCATTTGCGTAGATAGCTCACATGAAACACATCATGAATACCTGCCAAATCTTCCGGCAATTCCAAGCGGTATGCTTGTTTACCAACTCTCTGGATGATTTTGAAAGGACCAACAAATCTAGGACTTAGTTTTCCTTTCTTCCCAAATCGCATAATGCCTTTCCACGGGGATACTTTTAGCATTACGAAATCACCCACCTGGAATTCTATGGGTCGTCTCCTCTTTTCTGTATAGGACTTCTGTCGATCCTGGGCCGCTTTCATTCTTTCTCGTACAATTTGAATCTTGTCGGTGGTGTCTTGAATCATTTCAGGGCCTCCAAGGATCTTTTGTCCTATGTCTCGCCAACACAATGGTGTACGACATTTGCGACCATATAATGCTTCATATGGTGGCATTTTGATTGAAGCGTGGTAACTGTTATTATACGAAAATTCAACAAGAGGTAAGTATTTATCCCAGTTACCACCGAACTCCAAGACACATGCACGAAGCATATCTTCTACGGTTTGGATTGTTCTCTCTGTCTGACCATCTGTCTGGGGATGATAAGCTGTGCTGAGAGCAACTCGAGATCCCATTTCACGTTGCATACTTGCCCAAAAGTGAGAAGTGAAGCGAGTATCACGATCGGAAATGATCTTTAATGGCACACCGTGTCTTGCAACAATTTCATCCAAGTATACTTGTGCGTATTTCTCCATTGGATCCGTTTCACGCATGGCAAGAAAATGAGCGCTTTTAGTCAGGCGATCGACAATTACCCAAATGCTATCATGTTGTCTAGCAGTCTTTGGCAATTTGGTAATAAAATCCATGGACAGTTCTTCCCATTTCCATACAGGAACACTAAGACTTTCTGGGGTTCCATAAGGCTTTTGGTGCTCTGCTTTGACTTGTAAGCATACTAAGCATTCCTGTACATATCTTCCAATGTCTCTCTTTAATCCAGGCCACCAATAATCAGCTCTTACATCATAGTACATTTTACTTGTACCAGGATGTATTGAAAGTTTAGATTTATGGGCTTCATCTAAAATCTTCTGTCTTAATCCACCAATCTTTGGAATCCATAGCCGATTCT